AAAAAAATAAAAATCCTAGGTTTTCCACCTTGCGTACTTTGTTTAACAAGCAAAATCTATGAAAGCTGTAAAAACAACCACGAAAGACCTAGTCTTTGTTTGAGATGAAAGGGTGGGAGAGCAGATGCAATCGAAGGAATGTGAGTACAGAAAGGTGAGTTTGGAAGACGAGATTAAAAATGACTTATGGTGAAAAGTATTTGATCCCATATTTGTGAGGTAACGTTGAATGTTTGACCTATTTATCCCTGCGTTGGTTTTTGAAACTGGTGTGCTTTAGGTATTTACAAAGATGAAGTTGCTAACCCATACACGAAGCTGATATCTAATTTTTTTACTCTATTTTGACTTACTATAATAAAATTGGTGAAAAAAATGCATGACATACAAAAAGTATAGCATAGTAATAATAATATTTGTTTTCCATATTTGTGACTTCTTCAATATAATTTTGGTATTGTTGTTAGATAATAAACCATTACGGGCTTCCACAAAATTATTATTGATATGCATTGAAATAATTAACTAAATAATGTGATAATCCATTATGTGCATTAATGAATATAGATTCATCAAGAAATTGCACATATTCAATTTTGATTTGAAAATATCATTATAACTTATGGTAATTGTTTACATAAATTATAAATCGTTCGAGAACCTAAATCATGATATCGATTATCTGAGTTCTCAGACAATATTTTTGAATAAAATTATATATAAAAAATTCTCATTTCTTTATCATCTATTTTTTTTCTTTCTTTTTCCTCTACTTTAAACAATTTCACTTTTCAATTATTTTCTCACTTTTTTTTTCTTTTTCTCTTTCATTCCTCCAGTTTCTTTCAAACCATCTAAATAAAGGCTTAGTTATATACCACCATATTTCTCAACTTGTAAAATTTTATGTATAGAAGGGAAAAAGAAAAAAAAGAAGAAGAAAGAGAGAGGTAGGTGGGGAAGTTGAGGGATGAAGGATGCAAGTCATCTTGTTTTGGAAGGTGTCTAGTGCCAAAGTCAAGGAAGTAGTTTCTCCGTAACGTATGGGGTTGGATTGAAATTTACATAACTAAATAGGGAACATTAGCAGAACCAAGAACTTCCATTATCCATCATCAATAATAAACTAGAAAAATATCCCTCATGTTAAAATTAAACACGCAAGACAAAAAATGGCAAACCAAAATTTACATTTTCACGCTTTCTCTTTTTCAAAACATTTTCTAGTGGTCGCTGAACAAAATGTTACAAGGTATACAACACTAATTATAGTTTGGAACCAGAACTGAACACATTTGACTACAAAATGAAGAATGGAATTAATGCCTTAAGTAACACAACAGCTTCATGAACCAGAGAAAAATCAGAAGAACGACAAATATGTGAGGTGGTTCCTAAAGAAATCAATGTGCAACTCTCTTGAAGATTTCTAAAATGTGACGAGACAGAGTTGGTTCAAGTTCAAGCTGAGGCTGCCTCAGTGGCGGCTGCGGCGCGCTTCTTGGCAAAGTATTCCTCAGCGCGGGCAAGGTTCTTAGCAACCGATGGCTTAACCCATTTCTTGCGGCCAGGAAGCAAGGTGAGAGAACATCCAGCACTCTCAAGTTTCTCCTTTGCCGCTGTGGAAAAGGCACGGGCTTTTAGCGTCAACTTCTTGCTCAGTTCTCCTTCACCCAAAATCTGAATCCAAAAGTCACAATAATTTTTGTTTAGATTCATCAAGATCAAATTTCAGGAGTCCGGATTATGCATTGGATGGGTAAATAGAATTAAAAGGCTAGCTTAAACATACTATATTATCCAGTTTAAAGGTTTAAAAAACCCAATTTTTTGCAAAGATTTTCCCGCGTGTCTGTGAAACCAGAAATGCATTTATACAGAATGAATACAGTAAAATTTAATCAAGATATGCATGACGATCCATGTACACAGCATTGGCCAGTGCGAGCTAAAGTTTCAATAAGTAAAGGTAAGTAAATATCCTCGCAGAAGTTAATTACTAGAATCATTACAACCAGTATCCTTCCATTTGAATCAATGTCAAGATAGAGTGCAGTTTATTTACCCAAATTTTTCGTTTTTTGCTAGAAAAATGATCATTTAAAGATTCTGCTACACCGTGACGGGAATGTCTTTACATCTCATTGCTTATCCCACGAAGATAATTTTCAACAGAATAATGAGTCTAGAATTTGGCATCTGGAATAAAGATATGGAAAAGACCATCACCTTTTATTGTACCAAAAACACAGGAATAAAGATATGGAAAAAGGACACAAATGAATGACTTTGAATATTTGCCTCCTGAGCTGTAGGCTGCACCGTAGTTATTGCTTGAAAAATCACCATAAAGTATGTTTAAGGGGAGTCCTGATAGTCTAAAAAGCACCATAACCCAATTTATCCATGATGGATAAAAGAAATGGCGAAATAGACGAATTGACAATCCAAGTACAGTTTCTAAACTGAGAAATTCAATGATAAGATTATACAAGTATACGTAATTTTTGGTGTTCGAAACACAATTTTAAGCTTCAAAACACTGACACATCCAACTAAATATCATGTGTTTGATCTTATATACATATCAGACACACCAAAAACTACAGATATAAACTAAAACAACAAACTCGGATGAAAGAACATCAAAGAATTAATAGCACGTAACTCCATTCACCACAGGCCAGGGCCTCTAAAGAATTGACCTTTTGGCAGTTGCTGCCACTGCTGGGTAGTAGCATCCTCATTTATTTTTAAAAGTTAATCATTCATAATACCTCTACACATCCAGAAAATGATCTTGGAGAAGATTTAAGACAACAGCTAAGGAAGAAATTTAGATGTCATTAAATCAGCAAGTAATTTGTACCTTCAAAGGAAGTCTCCTTTCTCTTCCTGATGGGTTAATCACACCTTTTGCCTTCAGTGACTCTAGAGACACCTCTTCCCCTTCCTTAAATTTAGCATCTTCTATGTCTCTCAGATTTACATGGACATATTTGGGCAATCCCGCATGCATACCTAAATAAAGGGCAAGGAAAAGGGCATAAAAAAATAGTTCCGAAAGAGATAAATGCACAAGCATTGACTAAACAAGTTCAGAGAGGAAATAGAAAAAGAAGAAATACACAACCGTGCTAAACAACACAATCTCTACTACTTATTGGTTAACATTGTAAACTATAAAATCATATTTGAAATACATTAAGAAAATGAGACGCACAAAATATTGTGACTTAATAATAAATTTCAGCACATAGTGTGATCAAAAGATCATGTTGCTAGCATTTTTCAATATACAACAATATCTGAGATGTAAGGGGACATAATAAGTAAAAATGTCTGACATGACATCTGAGGAAACTAAACTTAGATGCTAGAGATTGATCGCATCCAAAATGAAATGATTCCCTTCCCACAACAATCACCATTTCCGGAGTCTTCTTTGCTCCAATTGCTTCTTTAAAATATTAGAGAAATTCATCGTGTCAAATCCCACAATGTATATAACCCGTCTCTAGGGGAGATAACAACTTGACCACCAAGGAAATATAATGTAGCAACTATATGTAACCAAATGACCTACTATAAAACAGTTTACACTACAGCTTGTGACTTATTGGATCTAAAATGTCGGTTGATTTAAAAAAAGGGCAAGAAGACATAGGTCCCGAAGGTATGCTAAAAGAGTCAGAGTATAATGACATATAACAATACCAGGACTAGAGCCCAACATACAATAATACGCACAAGTAAAAGTAAACTAAGTTACAATTCGGTGACAGTTTCTTATCTGCATTAAGGGATTGCCACACTCATCTAACTTGCAGTTTTAACAGTAATGCTTTTCAGTTTGCTACTGATTGTGACAGGGTATTAAAACGATGAAAGAGTCGTCAATGAATTGGGACATTACCTCCTGCAATTCCTCTGAGTTTGGGGATTCGTCGATAGAGGGGCATCTGGCCACCTTCGAAACCCTTCCTAACGCCAGGCCCAGATCGAGATTTCTGACCCCTCATCCCAAAACCACAACTTGCTCCCTGCCCTGCCGATATTCCTCTACCCTTTCTCTTGGCCCTCTTCCTCGAACCCGGTTGAGGCCCCAAATTGTCCAGCCGAAACCGAACGCCGACGATGGGCGCTGCCACCGGGGCAGATGCAGCCTTATTAACCACGAAAACGAGGGGTCTTGCACGCTGAACCTTCAGGCATGGTTTTGCAACTAAGGTTTTGACAGTTCCCTGCAATGCCCAAATATAAGAAATAAAGACGAAGAAGATTCTTATTTTTTTAGAGGAAGATGAAAAACCTTGAAAGGAGTAGACAGCGGCGGTAACCAGGAGGATGGTATGAGACTAGCAGTGGCCATTCTGTGGATGATAGACTCAGAGAGATGACACGATAACTCCACGAACAAACATCAAATAACGGATAGGATAAGTTTTTCCATTATTCTTTTTATTAGGAAAAATTCAAATTATTTATTCCCATAACACTAATGTACGGAGATTATTCAACAAAATTGATAACTAATTTACATGAATGTCAGCAATTAAAAATAAGTACTAACCAGGTTTAAAAATCCAAATTCACACAAAAAAGAAGTTAATTGCATGCAATGTTAGTAATTACTTTAAATAAGGCTCATTTAGGATTTTGGTCGTATTATTATACCTAAGCACACCAAATTTTTTTGAAGACAAATCAATTATTGGTGGGTGGGAAATAAGTTTCTTTTTTTTTACGAAAATGGTGTAAATTTTTTAAAATTTATTGAAAAGTTAAAATTTTTAAAACATTATTAGAATGGATAAATCATGTTAAACACAAATTTATTTTGAAGTAATTGCGTTTGCAACCCTTTTACATTATTGAAAACAAACAAATTGAACACAATTTTTTTAAAGTGAAAGTGAAGTCGTCTTGAATATATATGATGTCAAATCATAAATGTATTATTATATAAATCATTAAGTAAAATATTTAAAAAAGAAGAAATGGAAGTGAGACCTAGGATTTCTACTTGCTTTTTTATATAAATCATAAGTATTTAAAAAAAAAAGGAAATCAAATAAGACCATTATAAATGAAAAAAAAAAAATCTTTCAAGGCTTAAACCTAATTAACAGGTTGGATTATTGGTATTATGGGTTCATGGATTGAACTTTCTTCAGCTATAAGTATATTAAATCCAACTATACATTCTCGTTCTCTTCATCCTTTTCATTTCCCTCAATGCTTCTATTATTTATATTCATTTAGTTGTATAGGAAACATGAAATGTTTTTTATTATTATTATTATTATTATTCATAATGACTGAGCACTCGTCAGATAAAATAAATTCGCGTAACTTGATCAATAATTATATTCCTTGATAAACATGAATTGGCATAATTATAATAAACATTTAAGGATGTAAAAATCATAAAAGGGATAACATTAGCATAAATAATACAAAATCATCATGTATAAAATAAAAATAATTAAAATATACGGAAACAATATTTTTGTAATGATTTGTCAAGTTTATTTATATGCAATAAATTTACAGAAACAATAAATACACGACCGTTGATGGAATAAAAAATATATATTTTGTAATAAATGAGTATTATGGGCACTCCTTGAACTTAATGTAAGAAAAAAATAGGTATATGTATAAGCAGAAAAGTCAATTTATTTTCATAATTTTTGTATATCTATTGTTTTTCCTCTTTTGATTTTATATGTGAATTTTACGATTGAATAATTTCGGCCCATATATTTTACTAGCGGATCTTGATCTGTTTGTAAGTGCGGGCTTTTAATTTTGTAAGAGCGGGCTCGTTATGGTACTACAGTTTTTTTTCCAGCTCTGTCTAGACCCTAAAAAAACACGTCCAGCAAACTTGGGCAAAAAAGTAGTTGATAAACATTGACCAAAGACATTTATCAAACACTAACATGCGCAAAACTATTTTCAAACATGATTAGATTTACAAAGAAAAATATGGACAAACTATTTTCAAACATGTCAATTAATGTGTTTATTATTCTATTTGGTATTAAGACAAATTCAATTCAATGAGTGAACTTATTAGATTATCTAAATAAATTAAATTAAGAATGATCGATCCTGCTAAGGCTCCAACATAAAACCAATTGACAATATATGGATTAGTCTAATCTATTTAAACTATACCAAATGACATGAGGTAGGCGATGTGGGACTTTCAACACACCCTCCAACGAAGTCAACCGGACCAGTGCAAAGGGTACTTTTGACCCATGACAATAATCGAAAGATGTTAAGCTTTGGCTCGATACTCATGTTAAGGTTCCAACATAAAACCAGAACCTGTTAATTTATGTAATCTAACTTTACATTACAAAATTGTTTGAATTTAAAATTGCCAAAAATATCCACAGTCTGCAGCTCTCAATATCAGATATCCAATCATTATCATGCAATTATCAAAATCAAGTTGCTTGAACCCCACAAAAGCACACAAATAACTAAAAAGTTACACAAGAATTTTAATCATGCGCTCTCTTTTGATAAAATTTAGTCGAGTATTATTGAACTTTATCTTTACTCTCCATCTTCAAGCACCAGTTCTACTGCATTCATCCAGAGACATCAAGTTCTGTAGGTGATTGGATATCACGTACATGGGTTAAACAAAAAAATTATAGTCAAGGTGACAGGTACTATGCTTTGTATAAGAGGTGGCATGTATTTATATTTTGTTCATACGTTACAGGGTTAGAGAAAACTTAGATGTGGTCACATTTAATTACATTTGTTTCCGCTATAACGAAATGCGATGGAAGTGAAAAAAAGAATGTTGTTGGAAAAGGCATGGATAAAACCAGGGAGATGAGTAATAAACTAGCATACTTAAGTGAGAGCTCTTATTAGGCATTGAAGACGTAAACAAGAGTGTATCATAATGGGGCATATAGGATAGGGAGAAGGGTAACACTAAGACACCTCATGGTGTTGGTTAGCGTGCCCTCGGGCTTTGTGTGTGATTATGCTATGTGTAGGTTACTTGGAGCATACCACTTAAGGTTACTTTTGGGAGTTGGTCGTAGTACTCATTTGGGTGTAAAGATTTAAGTGGTGCATTGTGTAGGCAGCCACATCAATGCAGAGCTAGGTAGCCAAAATAGAGGCTCGAGATTAGTTTGATGTCCACAGGAAGGAAAGAAAAGATGCCTTCACACCAACCAATCTTTATCAAATACATATGGTTTAGTCTTGTTAGGCTACCGTACTATGTTAAGTCCACTTTAGTTCTTTGTCTGCAAATTGAGGCCACTTTAGTTATTTGTGGTTGGTATACAACTTTATTGAGAGAAAAAAACAAGAACAAGAGGCTACAAATTAGCTAGTCTTTCATGTTTGAATGTACAATTCAAAATCAAAAAATAGTATTTAATATTATAAGGTTTGTTCCCGGTTGGGAATGAAGGTAAGCTAGAATGAAGCAGAAGTGAGGGCTTCTGGTAGCATTCTGGTGAAAGTAATAGGAGAAAGAACCGGGAGTGGATACAAAAGCATAAAGACATAATGCATGAGGTCTACTTTTTCTAAGAACTAAAAAGGGTGTATATGCAAATGGAAACTGCAAGCTGAAAAATCAAAGTAACTAAACAGCTATTCAATCACAGAAAGTTTGAAGCAGCTGAGCCCATGATCTCTCTCTCTCAATCCCTCCTTGTGGCAAGCACAGTATGTAGCAAGAGCTATCTGAGAAGAGTGAACAATAACTAGCGACATCCATTTTTGGGGTCTGTATATAAGACCAATCACCATACCATCAATAATTTGGCACTGATTCAATTAGGTGAACCACTGTGTAATTGATGGAAATTGAATGCTAATAGGGATGCAGACAATTCTCTGATTCGTCTTCTCATCACCACCAACACTTGGTACAAGATAGTGATGTAACCTTCATTGGTTCCATCTGGTAACTAATTGTTTGCAAGTCATGAGTAATTTTCCTAGGAAGATGCATCTTTTCTTTACTTCTTCCTCAAAAGTTCCAACTCCCCTTTTGTTTGTTTTCCTTATATGTGTCTCAATCCAGTCACAGGGTTCAACTAAATTTGCCCTGTCTTTAGGTCTTTTTAACATTTTTACCATGCAAATCCAATGAAGCAAAAATCATCCAAAAATATGTGGCTAGAACTACAAGTAGCGTAGGCCAAAAATATCAAATTTTCACTAACACACTTCCCATATATACCGTCAATAAGCTAATTATAAAAAAAATAAAACAATTAACAAGATTGTAATGAGTTTATCGTAAGAGAGTAAGGTTGTAAGCATGCCCTAGAGCTTGGCTGATTAATAACCGAAATATCAAAGGTATAAAGGTAAAAACTACTCAAGCCTTGAGCCATAATTAAGAGACACAAATAAACACTCCTACAATTTATAGAGATAAAGAATTTATTCCTATGTAACAAATTTTAGCATTACTTTACTATAGATCTATACTCAGATTTTTTTATGCATTTTTTTCTTTTAATCAGGCATGCTTTCCACATTTCTAAAATGTGACTTGTTCTCTTCTATCATCTTTAATTGACCTTTTTATATGCAGAGAAAAAAAATACGAATTCACAAATAATTACGCATACTAAACGAAGCTTTATTGATTCTTAATAATATTAACCCCTTATCATATGCTTACCATGTGAAACTGGCTGTTTGAAAAATTTACGATATTCTACCAAAAATAACATTTAATGTTTAAACTTTAATCAATGGAAAAAATAATGGTTTCAAAAATAAAATGTATCTAATTTAAGAAAATTTATTATCTTGCTTATAAAAAGTATTTAATAGTAAAATAATTAAAGCTTTTTATATTGCATATGACATTATCTCAAATATAATTAGTATACTGTATATGATTCCTATTTACTTCGTTTTTATTAAGGAGTCGACTGAGAGACTATAGTAGACTAAATTTAATTTAAAATGTCAATATACAATGCATTTTTTAATAATTTATTTATATTTGTTAAGATTCCAACATAAAACCAATTGACAATATGTGGAGTAGCTTAACATGTATTTAAACCATACCAAATGATATGAGATAGACGATGTGGGACTTTCAACACACCCCTCCAACGAAGCTCTGCGAACCAGGCAAAGGATACTTTTGACCCAACTAAAGGGTAACTTTTGACCTATGACAATAACCTGGAAAGATGTTAGACTTTGGCTCGATACTCATGTTAAGTTCCAACATAAAACCAATTAGCGATATGTGGAGTAGCTTAACATGTATTTAAACCATACATGAGGTAGGCGATGTGGGACTTTCAACAATATTTAAATATTTTTTAATTCATGTAAAATGAGAACATTTTAAATTTCTTTACGTATTTTTTCTTATTTTTCGTCATTTTAAAAATATACATTTTTATTTTGACCATTGATATTATGTGATACTTGTTATATATAGTTGTTTAATATTGAACTGAAGGTTAAGTACCATTTTATATTCTATTAAATATAATTTAATCTACTAGCTCATGACAATAAATTAGACACACATGCATGTCCGTATTTGCACCTAAAATCGTGTTTTAATTAGTCCAAGGTATAGAGATAATTTTTTTTTCTTTTATGAATATAATTGATAAGGGGAATTTCTTCCATATATCAAAACTTATAAAATAATACCAACTGTACAACCTCAATCTTTAGCTGGTTTGGCTAGGTCATAGGCAACAGAGCCATTTCTATACCCAAACAAAAAAGCCATGTTCGTTATTAATGTGTGAAGTCCTTTTCTTTTTCAACATTCTAGTAATGCATTTACATTTTATTTTATTAATACAAAATGGAGTCTTTTGTGAATAACACAGTGTCTGTAAAATAACATTTTTTCATCTTCATTTGGTATTATGTTTGTAGTTTAATCAGCAAGTCCTAGTAACACATTATTTTATATATATATATATATATATATATATATATATATATATATATATATATATTTAAGATAGTAGCTATAAAAATTAATAAACTTATATTATATATGTCACTTTATAATTGAATGATAAAATAATTTTTACCCTGTTAAGTCATTACATAATATATACAAAAGGTAAATATTGAAATTAATCAAACGATAAAAATATTATATATTACAGTTATTTTTGGATATATAGGCAATGCTATCTGATTTTAATTAAAGTTGCTGTCCGTATCTGTGTAAACATTAATTAATCTATCCTTTTTTTAGTCAGGTAAAGCTATTCAAAAAGATACTTCTCAGACCAAAGATATAATTATATCTCAATTTGCATCTCATGTATTTGTAATTTGCTTTCGGCTAAATCAACACAAATTCAAAGTGAATGGTCAAAGTAATCCATGAACTTTTTCTCATGTTTGGGCACATTTGTTTATAGTTTTCATGAGATAAAGTTAAATTGAAATATATATTAATAATTATTAATATTATTTTTTTTAACATTTTTTTCTTTCAAAATGTAAAACCAGAAATTTATCTAAATGCGAATTAATTATTTGGTGTCTAATAATTTATAGGTCTCATCATGGTAAATTGGTATGCATTAGTTACTACTAGGTCAAGCTTTACCCAAAAAGAGAAGAAAAATTGAATTGTTTGTAATAATTGATTATACAATTATAGGTTTTCTAAACTTTAGGGGTTAATTTGGTTTCAAAGTTTTGCTGGTAGTGTACTGTTAGTTGGTCTCACGCATGTTTAGAGTTGAAACCTGTTGAGATTGCATCATTTAAGCGCTTACACCCAACGCCTCAAATGAATTTGTCAGAAAACTTTTTTACCTGTAATAGATATCACCATAATCTGATTTGTAGTACCACGATCGGAACAGGTATTCTCCTCTCCACTTTTTCATGAATAGAATCCAACATGCCTTGGAAATTTTGAAGTATGCAGTAGTTTTAATGTTTTATTTGATTTTGTTACCAATATTGCATTGGTCATGGTCTGAACATCTATGTAGTTTGTTAATTTTGTTTAATTTCTGTTTTCTTTCGGGTTTATATTATTAAGTAGCACTCATAAATGAAATGCACTTTCTGTCACAAGGAAAGGTAACAACTTTTCAATTTAAATTTTGACTGCTTGAAAGGAAGGAGGGCAGCATGATGATGAAGACAATTTCCTCCACTGGTTTGTAAGTTTGCCTTGCTAGAGCTCTGAATACGGAAGAAGTGTTTGTTGGATTTACTGCTTAAATTCGTGAAGGACCACTTGGAGAGTAATCATATATATACACACACACTTGCAAGAAAAAATTTCAGATAGTTGGGGCGGGGTCATATTGCATGAATCTTTGGGTCCAGGTTTTGAAAATATCGAATGTGTCTCACAACATTTCCTTCATAGTACCAACCAGCTAGTCAAGGCCAGCTGCAGTAGTGTGGTCCATGAATCACCTGATTTTAATGACTAGCTAGGCCTCTTATTAGGTAGTGTCTTCTTTCTCCTTTATAACCATTTCAGGTGTGGTGGGGGAACCTCTCAGTTTGTGGACAAGAGGCCCTCTCTAACTAATGTTTGTTTTTGCCATTTTCACACATATGCTGTTCCAGATCAAGAGGCAGGCCTTAATTAGCTTCAAGCAAGTTACGTCAATGACCAAATAAACCGCTGCTTAATTTAAGCCGTTCTCAAAACTAAGTACCTTTTATGACAGGTATGTATATATATGTCTGTGTTTGGTGTCACTCAAAATAAATTCAACTTGATATCAATCATGGATCCGTATTTAACTTAACTGTGAAACTGCATTTACTAAATATATATACCTTTTTCTGTGGTGTAAACTCGACAGTAATCATCAGTAGCTCCACCACTACTTTTTAAAAAGAAAAACTTGAAATGTACTACAGTTAATTAATTGCTTCTGCATATTAATTTGCATAGCATTTTACCTAGCTAAATAGTTAACTGTCTTATGAAGGAATCAGTCAACAGAGATGGAGAGATTAGATTTAAAGATATGCATCTAAAGCGAACAGAGAATATAATGATGAAAACATTAAGAAATTTCAAATCCATTTCTTCACTTTCTTCATGCACATACATTGAAAAGGACTATGTATATGTGATCTATGAGATGTATCAACTTTCAAAGAATAAAACAATAAGTGGGGGTCGAGTCTATCCCAACTTAGATTGCAAAAAACCCTAATGATAGATACTGATAGCAACCCTTCGTTGATGCAAGTCTAAGTCCCCTGGGTAGAATTTTACACCCAGAAGGAGGCATTGAGCTATTGTGGACCATACATGACCTGTTCTCAAACATGCCCCCTCCCCTCTTTAAGCACAATAACCACGCAAAATGTCTACGTACCCTATGCCTTGTCTTGCTTTCTTTCTGGTATAAATGTCATCTTTCATTCTTAGGGCAACCTTTAATGCTCAAGGATTTGTACTGTGCATTTGATTGCCATCCTTTGTTGGTAAAGATTTTCTTTTGGAATATTAGTTAATTTTTTTCAATGCATTTGACTGATGTTATTTGAATATTTTTGAACCATTTGCTGGCAGTTCTAGCTAGGGCAAAAACAAAAAACAAAGAAAACTGGAGGCAGAAGCGTCATATAATATACAATAACCAGTATATTGCTCTTTTTCTTTCTACCTTTCTTCATCATATAATTCATTTAATATATTTTTTATCTCTTTTTTTTATATATAAATTTGTTATACATAAAAATAATTTCTCTGGGTATTAGGAATAATTAATACAAAAGCAACATGTTTCTGAATCATATATCTAACCCTTTCTAATTCCGTCTGTCATTTCCTAAGTCCCAACCAAACCAGACGAAGCTAGCTAGCAATTTACAAAAACCTGATTAAGCCCCCACTCCCACAACCACACTCACGCTCTCCTTTTAAAGTCACGAGACCCACTGTCCCATTGTTCATTCAATTTTTTGTGTGGGGGGAGATAGGAGAGAGAGAGTGGCAGAGGAACTGATAGAGAACTTTCAAAGCTCTTTATCTTCTACCATCACTCAACTAGCCTCTATATTGCAGTCTCAAACTGAAAGTCTCAAAAATTTTGTAAAAAGCTCTCGTTTTATCCTCCCTTTTGAAAAAAAGAGTGTTTGCCTCACATCTTTTTTTTCTCCTTTCTCTCTTTTCTGTCTCTCTCTGTCGGTACCATGTAGGTCTTCCCCCACTACTACACCTTCACACCCTTTTCTGATTCATTATCTCCTCCTCTTTCTCCGTCTCTAACCCTTAACTTTTTCTCTCTCTTATGGCTTTGTTGTTCCTTTACAGGAGACCAGAAGGAAACCCGTTAGACCTTAACAATTTGCCCGATGAGTACTCTCGAGATGGCAAACAAGTCCTCGAAGACCATAGCTCTTCACCCGGTAAACTTGATGATCATACCATATTATCATATGGACGCTAAAATATCACAGGAACATTTTTTTTTCTGTTTTCTGAATTCTCTTTCAAAATCACTCACCATGGGAAGAAGGATTTCACTTTTCACAGGAAACAAAATTGAACACTTCCGTGATTTGTTACCCACTACTTGGGTATATTCTTTGACCATGAAACAGTGCTCATCACACTTTCTTTTTCTTATTTTATTCTTGGTTTTTGTCCTTGTACGCTTCTTATTCTTTTTTTCCTTTTCCTTGTGATCCTTTTCCTCCTATTCTTCTTTAAACTTCAAAGGTAAACATCATGCAACTGTAAAAGTAGATAGAAGGAGAAGAAAATAAAATAAAAGGGTAGTAGTAGTTAGTTAGTAAAATTAATTCTATTTTTCTGTGGGCGGTTAATTAATTAATTAAATTTATGCGATGGATTTGGGTAATCGAGAATGGGCTTAAAGGGAAAGAAGGGTGTCATGGAAGTTGCTTTAATTGGATGGTTATGGTTGCAGGTTGCAGGAAAAAGAAAAGCGGCGGGAAGGATGGAAAAGACGAGTGTGGGAAGGTCTACGAGTGTAGATTTTGTTCCCTTAAGTTCTGCAAGTCTCAGGCTCTTGGGGGACACATGAACCGCCACCGCCAAGGCTAGTACCACCTATACTTTACCACTACTAACACTTTTCTCTTCTTTTTATTTTCTTCCTATTTTACTTTATCCTCCTTTTTTTCCCACTCTTTAAACTAAACCATTCACTCAACCAAGTCTCTACTGGCCGTTAATGATTTGCTCATGAAAGGTTGTCATTTCAATCACAAAAGGTTGTGTTGTTTTGTTGGATCGCTGAAATTCGAGAGGGCCCCTTTTGTTTTTTCTTCCTTTTTAATTCTATGCTCGTAGTATTAATATTATCATTATTATTTGTTTTTGTGATTCTTTTGGGCAGAGAGGGAAACGGAGACACTGAACCAGGCTCGTCAACTGGTCTTTCGTAGTGATCATAGCCTTGCTGCACAAGGTGCCCCTCACTTAGGGTATGCATATATGCACCATTACTTGTTTTTCTTTTCTTTCTTGTCGTTTAATGCTACATTTTAACATCTGCAGTTTTTTGTCAAATATTTGTTTTTTGTCGAGGATCTTTAGCGTTTGTTGTTTTTCAATTTCAAGCAGAAGCAAGGTAGCATGCAGACATAATATTAGGGTACACAACACACAAAACACAATACTGTTTGATATTTTGATAAAATTTACTTTGTGTTAATATTCAGATGCTGCCAACCGATAGGAGCCGGGGGTTATCACCCATCAGGAGATCCAACGGCACCGCTAAGATTCCCGAGGTACTTCTCAGGTTCATCCTCAACTCACATGCCACCACCCGCACCGACACCACCACAGCCATACCTGTATGCCTCACCTACAAGGCCAGTGTCCTTTGGGTCATCACAATTTCCTCACCAGCATGCGGTGAGTGATTATTATGTGGGTCATGTTATGAGTGGGAGCCATGGACACTATGTGGGAGGAGGAGGAGGAGGAGAGATCACAAGTAGTTACACCTGCATTGGTGCACCGGTGGGACAAGGTGGTGGGTTCGGTGGTGGTGGTGCTGGTAAGGACGGGTCACTGCATAATAATCAAGAGGAAGGGTTGAGTTGGGGAAGGGGCTATTCAGCAGGAGCACAGCATCGTTTGGATCCTCCCTCAGCGATCAATCGGTTTCAAGATGGTTTCTAATGAGATTCTTTCTGTGAGTAGTGGTGTTTTTGGTTTGTGTAATCTGGTATCATAAAGACACGCAATCCAGAGAGAGAGACATTACAAGCTGACACATGGGGTCATGGAGGTAGCTAAGCTAGGAAGAAGAGAGAGAAAGAGAGAGGTGGTTTTGGTTTATCTACAGTAACCAGGGACAGCTTTTGAGCTCATGGATACCCTCAGCTACTTTGGCTTGGAGTTGTGGGGGTTAGTGGGTGGGATTTGTTCTCAACATGGTCTTTTGTATTGGTAGCTAGCTAGCTGGGACAACCAGTTAGATATGAACTGAAAGTTTCCAAACTCCCTTTTGCATTTGTGACTCGTTCACTTCCCTTTTGCATGGCAAATTACAACTACTTTCCTTCTAATTTGTTGCTTTCACTATTTTATATTATATCATATAGTAGTAATATTTATCAATCTATCTATTATTACTGTTTTATTTATATTTGGATACATATATATATATATATATATATATATATATATATATATATTTATTTACGTTTGCGTATCTGTTCTGTGTTTAGTTTTATGGCAGTTTATTTACGATTCCAAAACTCCCTAAAGCCCGTCACTCTCTCACTCTTTCTATCCAAACCAAAATTGGGATCTTCTAGTTTCTTGAAATGTTTATGGTCTCAGTGTCACACCATGCTTGCACAATTAGGGTAATAAGGCAGAGAAGTTTTGGACTCCTCTTGCGAATAACCATCTTGCTGAATGCTTCCTGAATAGGATATGCAAACGATCAAACCTGCCAAATATACAATTTCTTATTAAAGAAAAGTTATCCCCCTCCCAATTTCCAGAATATAGTATATTGTAAATAATTATTGTAAAAGTTTAAAATGCAGATTATTTATTGCAGCAGACAGTGAATGCAGCTATATTTAATTTGTATGGTACATACCGAACAAAACTACTACCTAAGGAATAAAAACACCCTTGCTGTCAGCTCCAAGAGCTTCTACCAAACGCAGCAGCTTAGAGAAATATATATACCACTTTAACTATCTCATCATCCTTACTCAAACAGTAAAACACGTGCAAAAAAATAAAATCACATTAGCATCATTTTTCTTTTCTTTTTCTTCTTTTTAAACCATTTTCTTTTTCTTTTCTTCTTTTTTTTAGCTTGTTTCCTTTAAGCATAGCACATAATTATAAGAAAATTATCCTAAAAAAAAGTATTTTTTTCTGGCTTCTACTAGTCCTTTTGATTTTTTATTTTTTTTTACAAAACTAATAATTTATTTGTGTTTTCAATCAAGATGCATCAATTCCTTTCTATACAATCGATTAGTACTTTGTGAAACTAGTATAAAATAATACTTTTTCAATATACTAAAATTGAAATTTGAGAACCTTTCACACGTTTTTATCCAAAATTCTTGACTGTGACGAGGGGAATTAATATCTATTAATATCTTATATTTGGCTCAAAGAAAATTAAAGAATAGAATTATATACTAATGAGGAATATTAAATTCGTGTTCACCAATATAATTAGAGAATACTATAAGGTTATACTATTTCTTTTAGAAAAACTTGTATTAATTTTATAACAATATAATTTGTTTAGTGAAATAATATTCTGTTAGTGTAAACTCATAATATTTACACTAAAAACATAATGTTATTGGAAAAAAATTATATTAACAAGAACTAAGTTAAATCTTTAATAAGTATTTTTTTTTACGGGGATGGTGAAAATGGTGTGCATGAAAAGGAAATGTGATAATTAGATAGTGCTGATAGTGTTGATGGAAGATCCAATGGCAATAACAACATTGGTTGATGCAGCAGGAATTTAGTGGCATGAAATGATGGCAAGTGGGACATCACAAATTATAGACGAAGAAGGTAATCTTAGTGAATGGTTTTAATAACAATTACTGAAAATGTTATGAACGGAAATTCATATAAACTTCATTAAATTTAATGAAGTTTAAAATGAGTTTAATTCAACATTTATGAGTAAAAATGTATTTTAACGAGTCAGGTTAAAATGAATCACAAATAATTTAACTCATTTTCAGAAGTTACAAAAGAGAAGATGATCAAGCGTGGTGGGGGAAAAGGGGTACTATGTATCAAATATTTTTGAGATTTTGAAAGCCATGAATACCTTACTTTATTTGGAGTCATGATATCTTATAGGATCCTTAAGAAAAAGGTTGTGCGAATAAAGTTAACAAAAAAACAAATTATAATAATATGTAAAAAAAATAAAAATTGAATTGGGGCATGTGTACCCAAATATAAATGTAGGACCATCTGCTTGTGGGGGTGGGGGCTACGTTCACCAAGAAATTAGTTTTTATTTATAATGTGTTTGGAGTATTTTTATAACAAAAAGAATCAATTTTAATAAAATAAGAAGTATTTGTTTTCATGTATGTGACTGTGATTTTGTAGAATATTATCGACTAATAGTGTTACTGAAACATACCACAGTGTATTACATATAACATTTTTATTTTTGTTATTTGTTTGGTTATACGATTAATTTCTAGATCCGGTAAAAGACATGAAAACATGGTTGTGTCTTTTAAAGAATATAAACAAAATTGTGATTATTTATGAATTTTTGTCTATATCAAGTTAATTGGAGCTGAATAAAAATAAAGGAAAAGTGTAATCGCTTTTGTACTTTAGTCGGTCAGACTAGTTACTTCTGCCGGATCCAAAAGTAATTATCACACTCAGTTACTTGACCAGATGATCGAGGTTTCTGGGTTTCCAACATCACAAATAATTAGAAAGGTGTTTACTAGTTTTGTTTGTGGAGGTTGAGAGACATTAATTAATTAATTGAAATTAGAAGTAGGAGTAGCATAATAGCTAGTTATAGCTAGCTTTAGCTAATAACCTTATATGCCTACACTATACTGAGGTGGCTCTATCTAGGTAGCTGATGAAGTGATTAGATAGAACCCAAAGATTACTGAGACATTTCAGGCGGCCTAAGATGCATAGGCTTGAATTATAGACCAAATCCATTTTTGGGCAATCCATGGGCATGCATGAATGTGGGGACAGATATTAGGGTTCCAGGTTTGCTTGTAAGTGCAAAAACCTGAAGGTTGTGGTGGATTACATGTTAGTAGGTATCAGGTATTAGGTGTTAATTAGGTAGGTACTTAGGAGCAAAAGACAAAAAGATAGAGACAAATTAATTGAGACTGGTATTGGTGTTGGTGATGGTAAGAAAATGTAGCCAACGAGATGAGAGGAAGGAGGTATAGGAAGAAGACCTAGGTGGCTAATAAGTTAGCATGGCATACATGTGATCGATGTTGTGATGAGATTCATTGATAAGGTAGGTTGGTTGAAGCGAGAGTATCGATCCATGCAAGATGTCGCGCCACCACTTGGCATTCAACTCAGATATGTGTTACTTTGTTAATTAATGGAGCTACAGCTTGGGCCCATTCCCCATATATTTTACATTCACTTTTAAGCACAAGAGAAACATCAACAGTATCTAAGAGCAGTGATTGACATCTCAATCTCAAATGTTTTTATAGACACATAACATAGTACTTCCCTTCGTGGGGTCAACCTTTAATTATAAAGAGAAGAAAGAGTAGTGTTAGTCTCGTAGTCTACTACAGCACAATTTCTGTGCAGATTTTTTCATAACAAACAAAACAAAAACTATACACAAGTGATTAGTATCACAGTACACTTTGAAAACCAAAATCAACACCACTGTTTAATTTTTTACACTATGAAGGACACCTTTGGTGATTCATCAACTACATTATTTCTATCTTGAAGACTTTCTTTATATAGAAAAAGGGGACATATGGACTCGCATGATGTTAAAAAAATAAAAAATAATGCAAGTTGACAATTAAGCTGGCAACGTCATGTTCAAAATGGTTTCTTGGCTAACTGATTTGAACCGTGCGTACACAAAATGTTTTTGTTTTAATAAAACTGATCTTGGTTAAAAGTATTTTTAAAGTGAAATTATATATATCTAGATATTTCCATCTTGATATTGGATAAAAGTTCATGAAAACAACACATGATCACCAAAAGAGAACAGTTGTCTAAGTGCGTGTTTGATTTGATCTGGGATCAAATCAAACACGGATCCATTTTTTATATCAAATTCAAACTATTGAATAATTTTTATTTTTAACATTAAAAGAAAAATATTGAACCTGTTTGATGATTCGGAAACTTGTGCAGACAAACTTAAAGTAAATTGTGGGCTATATCTTTTTCCCTCTCAATTATCCAACTCCACTTTTCAAAATTATAATAAGTTTTGTTGTCAGGGAATATGAGAGATAAAAATTAGTTCGAAGATTTCTATAAATCTAGATCACCAGATAATCATACAAATGGAAATAATCAATTAGAAAAATTTTAACCTCTGTTTTTTGAAAAGAGTAAAAAAGTAAAATTAGAAATAAATAAATAAAAAGTTACTATATTTGGTTGTACAAAAATAAGGGAAGAAATAAATTTAAAGTTGTGGGACCTTAATTTTAGTTTCATTAAATTTTTTCTTATATATTCAATTATTCTCTTAAACTAAATATTATTATTTTCACTTATTTTTATTATTTTTTCTATCTATTAGATTTCTCTAAATTTCTTTCCCTTCCTACCATATTGACTTAAGAGTCAACTGCAAAAGTAAAATTAAATTGTATTTAAATCAAAGCTTTAAGTAATTAATTTTATAGATCTTTATCATTCATACATTATTTAACATAACCATTTTTGTCTCATGCTTCCAAAACTTTGGTACGTTGTATTAAAGTTTGGTGTCGAATTAATATGGAAAGCTTCTTTCTTACACTTGCATCCTAGCATGTATTTTTCTATACAGTAAAGAATGAGTAGAATTTGGTTGGCGCTTGTAATTGAGCTTGAATTAGGATTGGTTCTTTTTAAATTAGAATCATAACACCAAAGCAGTTTTTTTAATTATTAACAAACATCATCAGATTTGCCAATTTTCCATTTCTAAGAATTTTTGTCATCTTTATTGCTAGTATCGTTTTTTCATAAGTATTATCAAAACCACTATGACCAACTCACCAACCATCATTCTCACTGTTAGATGTATTTAAAATTATCCTGTTAAATTCAAAATGAGTCGTGTTATGTCTATAATAATTGAGGTCAATAATTGAAGCCATATATATGAATTGTTGTTATATCCAAACCTTATTTCCTCTCACACGCTTGAAGAATAATACAGCATAGATGAAAGAAAAAAAGAAGAAGGATGATACAGGTGTAATAATTTAATTTTAAAAACTCTTTAGAAAACCCACAAAAACACAAACAAGAACGGAAAAGGAAAAATGGCAAATCGTACACTATAAATACAGGCTTTGGCTCACAAGTCACTGAGTCTCTCCGGGTCCCCCTACTTTTTCATCTGAGTACTTTTGTTTTTGCACAAACAAACAGTACACTGATAAAAGACATTATCAAATTGCCATACTCATAATCTCTAGTCTTTGACAAAAGATATTCACACACTGATAAAAGACGGTACGAGAGATCAATTTTTTTCTTTGATGCTGAAACACTGATCCCCAGTAAAACTACCTTCGTTATACCATATTCCCTTTTCAACAGAGAATCCAAACATCGTTTCTTCATAGTTATCACACACATTCTCTATATTTTATATGTAGCTTTAGCAGAAAGCTAACATAGTATATACAGGTATATACATTCCTCCGTTACAAATATTGTTATATCAACTCACTTTATACATCTTCATTTTCCTTTTCATCTCTCAATGACCTTTTATTTATTTCTCCCCCTGTAATGATCCTAGTCAGTATAATGTACTCTTCAAACTTTAATGCCTCTCGGGATCAGAGAGAGAGAGAGAGAGAGAGAGAGAGAAGAGCATTAATGTGCTGTGGATCTTGGTGATATATAGGGCCAGAACTACACTAAAAAAGTTGCATGTTATGCTGCTAAATACTGAAACGGCATGAGAAAGACAGTATTGCAGGCCCATATATCTTACCTGCAGAAAAGAAAACGAGAGGAGAGTTTTAACAAATGTATTTTGATATTAAAGTAAATAATAAAAAATTATAAATAAGTGTAACTGGTGGTATATTTTTCCACAGTTTTTTATTTTTAATATATTTTTTAAAATTTATTAATTTCTGAAAAACATTGTATAGAAAATAGTCGTTAACTATATTAAAAGAAAAATAATGAGAAAAGAAAAGCCGCGAGAAAAGTTGATGAACATAGACTCGGTTGACTCAGATTCACCGACTGACCGTACATTACATAAATGAGAGAATGTTTAAAGATACTGAATAGCTTTAGTGTGAATTAATTCGTATCCCAGTTCTTCATCTTCTTCGACTACTTCAATGATCTTTCTCCATCTTTATCAAGAAGGGAAAACTGCACTCTTTTTAGCTGTTTCCAATTAATGTTCAAGAAGTTGAGGATAATTAAAAATCATGGAGATGCTTGTTTTGTAACCCCCACCCACCAGCAGCCCCACCCCAAAATAATAATAATAATGCAGATCCATATCCCTTTTATAGCAGCTTTGGCAGTAATTTTTTCTGTCACTAACACCATACTTTCTCTCGCTGTGTCTTAATTATCTCCTTCGTTAATGTTGCACTAACTCACCTTGTCTCTCCTCCTGAGAAAGAAACGAGAACTTTTATTTAATCTCCCAGAGCATTTTTATTTTTTTTAATTTCTAGGGTATTGACTCTAGCCGAGATGAAACTTGAACTCACTTGGTTCCAGCCAGTCTGATTTCAAAAATATTGATTCTTGGTTATATGCTTTCAAGTTGTTTGCATTAAATCACTCAAAGTTTACCTTATTATAGGGGATTTTAGGTTTTCAATTTCAACAAATTCTGTTTAAAGCAGAGCGCTTAGGAAACACAGAATTGAGAAGTCTCTCACACAGACTTGTCATTTTTGTTTTGTTTTGGGATGAGATTGTAGTTTGGGCTATAAAAAGAGGTTAAACTAGTAATATTCTTTTATTCAGAAAATTACAATTTTTTCTTTATCTCAAAGGGACAAATGAAATGAGGCATCTGTTACGAGGGAAATCTTCAATTCATAGCTGCTTGGAACAACACTTGGCAACCTACATAAAGTATTGTTGCTTGTCTACAAAATGCCAAATTGAATATATATCATAATAGGCAAGGAAAAACTTAGTTCATTATTGGAGTGGTAAATACGAAACTAGAAGGAAGATGTTACTGAAAATACAGAAAAGTTCATTACATAAAACTCAATTCGCGTTCCTTCAGCTTTTAGTTAAAGATGAGTGCACCAGGAAATGAAACCGACACTGATGATAGGGTTAGGGGTGGTTTCTGCAATTTGCTTGATCTCCATTTTTTTTTTAGCTTTTACAATTAATTTCACCTAATCTGCAAAAAAAATACTACATCCGTTTTAGTATAAAACCTTCATTTGATTAATATGAGATTCAGTCATGCATCGATGACACAGGTGACTACTAAGAGAAGGTTTCTACTTGCTAGCTATGGTGTGTGGTCTTTGGTGAGCAAAGACTATAGTTCACACAAACGTTTAGGAAAGAGATGGATGGTGTAGTTTGTTTGTGATACTACTTTCTCCAGGTGGTTTGGTTTGAATGGAATGAATTTAGATTATTAACTTG